ACACACACACACACACACACACACACACACACACAAATCTTTGATGGTTACCAGGAATGGGAGGGGGAGGGAGGGAAAATCACCAACCAGAAAGAAGACATGTATTAATATTGGTGAAGGGAAAGACATTACACAATAGGGTGGAAGTCAGCACAATAGGACCAAGGAAAAGGAAGGTACTGAGAGGAATGGGAGAATAAAGGGCAATTACAATAATTACCATAACATAGGCAACCCTACAACAATAGTTTTAACAAATAATAATCTACAAATGGATATATAGGTAGAGAGGTATGATAAAAAGGAGTGGGAGAGTGCAAGGGAGCACACCCACCTGCAGATATAGGCTGAGTTGCAGATACAGGTTGGGTTGCAGATATTACTACATACACATTTGTAGAGGCTATATGTATATTAATATAGACCATAGAACACACAAGGGGCATAGTTATGGAAACTTCCTAGACATAACCAAACACCTGAAGGGGTGAAGTTACTAGGCTTGAAGACTGAGGACCACTGACTCCGGAGACATCTATGTCAATTTGCATAACATAGTTCATAAAGACATCCTACTTTAGTAAGTAGGGTCTGGGGTCTTTAAAGCTTGTGAATGGCCATCTAAGATACAACTATTGGTCTCATTCCAACTGAAGCAAAGGAGAGTGGAGAGAACCAAAGACTCAAGAGAGCAATTAGTCTAAAGGACTAATGGACCACATGAACCACAGCCTACATGACCCCGAGACCAGAAGAACTAGATGGTGCCGAACTACCACTACCAACTGCTCTGACCAGGATCACAATAAAGGGTCCTAGGAAGAGCAGGAGAAAAATGTAGAACAAAAATCAAATCCGTAAAAAAGACCAGACTGACTCATCTGATACAGACTGGAGGAACCCCCGAGACTATGGCCCTAAGACACCCTTTTAACACGGAACTGAAGCCGTTCCTGGAGACCCCCTCCCAGCCAAACAATAGACAGGCCTACAAAATAAATAATAATACCCGAGAGGAACGAGCTCCTTAGAACAGTTAATTATATGAGACCAAAAGGACAAAATCTTCCCAAAAGCAAAGACAAGAAGGCAGGAAGAGGTAGGAAAACCTGATGAAAGCTAACAGGGAACCCAGGGTGGAAATGAGGAGAGTGCTGACACATTGAACGGACTTTGACCAATGTCTTGAAACATTCTGTGTACAGACTGTTGAATGGGAAACTATTTTGCTCTGTAAACCTTGACCTAAAGCACAATAAAATATTAAAAACAAAATGTTCAGTAATGGTAGCCAGGCACTACCCAGTTCTGGTCTCATGGCAAAGGAGGCAGCCCATTTTTTTTCCTAAAACTTTTTTAAACCTTAGAATTTCAATTTAGACTATCTCTTGGGGCAATGGGCTGCATGAGATACTACTTTTATTTGCCCTCCCCCCCCAAAAAATCAATCTTTCAAGCATTAAAACATGTCTAATATTATCATAGTGTCTGGTACATAGCAAGCATTCTATTTATTGAACTGAATTGTTAAGTTTTACCAATATACTAACCTTACTCATCTTTCTCATGGTTTGGTATACTTTGATCATATCCCTCCCTCAACCTCTCTCTCTCCAGACTGAAAAAACAACTAGAAAGTCCTTCTACCCTTTTGATCATAAAATTGGGCTTCTGGGGACTTTTATCAGCTGTTAGGTTTTTCTTAAGCAGCAGCCACCAAAATTTCCTGTATGAACATGAATGCAAATTCACTTTCAGTATTTTACACAGAAAAGATAAAGGTTTTATTTGTTGTTGTTTTCAACATCCTTCCTGATGATATCCACCATATTCTTGGCCTTTGAGGACCACAATCACGAATGGGCAAACCTCTTCACAGAATAATCAACAGTCAGTTTAATTTTTATTTTTTCACTCTAATAATCATATTGTGTATTTTCTAAGTTGGAGACTGATGCGATGTAATCAGCCACTGAGATCATCTCCAGCAAGTATCCAGTTAAGTCTACAGGTACTTGGTTGCTCTAACTAAAGGAGACAGTTACGATTCCAGAAAGTCTGATGCAACCCTCCCACCGCTTGTTATCAACAACTGCGTCTCCACCACTGGGGAGGCTTTTTCAACACTTCCCATGGCCAATTTTGGTGATCGCTCTGCTATGTAACCTGACTGCCCTTCTGCATCCTTTTATTTATTTTTTAACTGAGGGATAACGTACATACATCTATAGTGATTTCTAGGTCCCTTTTTTGAGTCATAACTGAGAGCCCAGAGCCCATCATCCCGTAACTATGGATATGTTTACTTTTGTAGTCCATCTCTTAAGTATAGCTATGTTTACTTTTGCCTAACTGCATGGCCTTACTTGTGTTCATATTCTGCCCAGTTGGTCTCACGATACCTTCCTGCAGTTTATTCTCATCCACTTGCCTTCACTCCTTGTAGATACACTGGTGAGAAACCTGAAAATACTGCCCATTGAAGGGTGCATATTTTTATCTTTTTTCCTCTCCATCCAAGAGTTGCTGTAACAGCAGCTGTTTATGTTGAAAAACTAAAATATAAAAATACGACTTACGTGGTCAAATCCCACAACGCTGTTTACTTCCTTATTTATGAATCAAAATCTGTCTGTCAGCACAACTGTAGAATCTTGACTGTCAGCAGATACTGCAATTAAATGTCCCTGCAAAGCCAGCAGAGGGTGCACCAGGGCACTAGAAATTTTACCCAAGCTGTAGCAGTATCAATTTTACTCTAATAGCCAATAAAATTTTCCTTTTGTTTTTCTTTTTGTATACTAAAGCTAACATCCTCAAAATAAACTTAAGTTGAATCTGGGCTAAAATTCCTTCAAAGTGTACTCCAATTTTCCTGAAAGTGAAGGAAGAATAAGAAATACATGGTTAAATTTAGTCTGGTCAAAATGTAGGTGGAGTAGAAGAAAATGGTGCAGATCTGAGCCCTCTACTTTGTAAAAAGTCTACTATGTAGCTCCACTCTTCCCTCAGAAAGAGTCCCCAGGAGACAGTATGCTATAGGGGAATGGACACTGAACTGCGAGTCAGGAGACCAAGTTGCATACTCGTTTTTACCCCAGTTGGGTGACCTTGAACAAGTCACCCCCACCCAGGGCCTAAGGTGTCCTCCAAGAGGATCAAACAAAATGGATTCATATGGCCTCATGAAACTCTAAAAATCACTGACTCCAATTGACATCAACAAATGTAAAGAGCCAGTGCACTTGCTTCTACCAATCAAAAACATGAAAACAGAAAGAATAAAGGACAGAAGATAGGAATCTGTGTTTAAACCTGACAGAACAATTTGAAGCGCCATGCAAAAGGCAGGCAAGAAACTCCATTACAGACCTGTGATAGTCCCATGCCATCACAGAAGCCCTAGAGTACAGCTGCTCTGTTAATCCTCAGTCTTTAAATATGGGTCTCTGCATTCTGCATGCCAAAAAATGTTTGGCCACCATTTGACTAAGGAAGCTGAATTCCCTCATCTTTCCACAGAATATCATTGTTCAGCTGCTAAATACTTCTGCTGGGCATTGGTAGGCGGGATGGATAGATGAAGGAGCCAGAATCCTAGTTAATTATCATTCAGCCACTGTGTTTAAAGTTTCAAGTATGAGAAGCATGTTTGCTGATTCTCTTCTTTGATAAGCTATTATATAAGTTAGAGTGTGCGAGCAAGACATTTTAAGGCTCAGGGCAACTTTACAAGACACAATGTAAAAAATGTGTCAGTCTTAACATTACAGTATTATGAATATGATGCCTCTATCGAGCGTACAACTTTGGCTAGAAGATCAAATTAGCACAAATAATGTTTACAGAGTTATGACAATTACTTTGGATGTGGCAGTAAATATAGAAGGCCTGTGTCCTCAACCTCCAGGAACTTATTTGCACAACTTGCCCTCATCCTCAAAAGGTACAAACTGACTATTCTTTAACCACCTCAAAAACATCCTTGGATGCTTTCCCTAAATTTCACATATAAGACAAAACATGGCAGTTGATACAATACTTACTTTAATTGTACTAAGTTTACTTGAATAAAGAACCACAAAGAGTAAAAAACAAACACCAAAGCTAATGGTTTGCTAATAAGGGCACAAACATAATAAAGACTGAAAATAAATAAACTGATCTTGAGAGACTGTTGTCCTGTGCCATGGAGTTGATTCCGACTCATAGCGACCCTACTCCATCAGTAGATTCCTGTTCTCAAGCTACACATAGTGAACACACTTCACACCCACCCTCTCCATTCCACCTCCCAAAAGAGCTAGAAACGGCATGCAAAGGGTGAGTTTTCTTTCCATAGATTTTCTTAAATTGCTGTTCAGAAGTAGTCTAACAAGATGGCATATTTCTACCAGAATTCCTCACGGGCGCTGATCCTCACTAGAGAACTGAGGACATCAGTTTCAAATCTCAGGTAAGTGAACAAGCCCACGTCTGGTCAGCGCGCAATGACCCCGCGCTGAAAATACGGTTAACTGTTGTTTCTACGGGCGTGGAGTGTTTATTACAGCTGTTTACAGCCCCAACTCCAAAGGAAAGTCTGCTAGTGCTGCCACCAGCCCTGGACACGAAAAAACAAGCACCACGGGCAGAGAACCTCACCAGGACCAGAGGGCCAAGCTGCTCGCCGTTAATCCGCCAGAAGGGCAGCGCAGGCACCTCCTTTCCGCGGCCAGAGCGTTGCCAACTTTCCCTGAGGTAGCCCATCGCCGGGGACGGCAGAGGCGGGCACGGGCCAGAGTTGCCAGAGAATCTGGGCCAAGGAACCTAGAACAACCTGCCCTGCAGCAACCCCTCCCCTCATTGGCCTTCCCCCTCCCCTCATTGGCCTTCCCCCTCCCTGGTCCTAACTTGGCTCGAGGTGGCAGAGTCCTCCCAGGGCCCTGTGGTGGAGGGCCCCCGCCCTACCCACAAGGGAAGGGGGCCTCTGCTGCCACCGCCCCTAGTAGGTGACTCACCTGGTGCCCGTCCTGAGAGTCGAGGGGGAGTGTGGTTTCTCCGGGTTCCAGCGGCTGCTGCTGAGGAGACGACTGCCCGAGGTGGCGGATGATGGGACCGTCAGGGTCGAGGCCACTGGAGCTGGTCAGAGTGCCAGAGGTGCCGGGGGTACTGGGGCCACCAAGGCGGGTCTCGGCTCCCCGTTCCCGCCGCAACTCGGAGCGCAGCTCTAGGTAGCAGCACAACGTCAGCAGGTGGAGGGCCAGAGAGAAACCAAAGAAACCCAGGAAGAGCCGGCAGCTGTTCCCTTCGCTGGCCCGGGCCGGGGCCCCGCGACAGCCGCAGACCTGGCTTCCTCGCTGGCGCGGCGGTTCCCTGCGCTCTACCTCTGGGTAGCCCATGGCCTCCGGAGACACACTCTCTGAGGCCCGGGAGCCGTCGCGTCTGCTTCAACCGTTCACGACCCCTGACAGGCGGCTACTGTCCTGCCATCGGCTGGGGGCTGCAGGGACCCGTTCCTGTGCGTCGGTGGCTGGGCGGGACACAGCAAAGAGCAGCCGCATGTGCAGCTCCACTCCTAGGGGTGGGAAAGAGAGGAGGAGGGGCAGGAGAGGGGGGCGGCTCTGCCCGCCGAAGGAGTGATGGAGGAGGCCCTGGCCGACCCCGCCCCATCCCTCAAGCGGCTGCCAGGACGCCCAACCACCCGTCCCGCCAAGTCTCGGTGCTCCGCCCCCTGTCGTTCCACCCGCGCCCTAAACCGCGGGGCGGGGCCTGGAGGCGTGTGGGTTCGCCTCTGCCTGGCAGCCCCACCTAGCTCTTCCCGGTTTCCCGGTACCGGTAGGTGACTGCCGCTGTCGTTCATCCCTGGACTCCGCCCCCATTTAACCCTTTAGCGCCAGTACGGGGTAGAAGGAAGGAGGGGGAGGCTAAGAAGAATTTGGGAACCTTGGGGGAAAAAAAGTAGAGCAAAGAAAAGGAGGCAGAAACTAGTATTAATAGAAATGCTTGCAATTAACTTCAGTTGTTAATAACATCATTCAGCACTTATCTGTTACTTTCAAACTTCAAAGCGTTTAACAGACGTTAAACTAATTAAAACAGTTCTGGGTTTGGAATGAAACCATGTCTGCTGTGTTTGTAATCCAAAGGCGTGCCAGGAGAAAAGGAGACTTAGGAGCCTGGGAGCCAAAGGGAGTGGGAATGGGGTGTGACTCAGGCAGCCTCCCTCCTGTACTGAGTCTGGGGGCTCAATCTAAGTGAGGAAGAAGCTGACCTGTGCCAGGCAGGACTGAAGTGATGTCGCCCCCTGAAAGTTAAACCAGTCCCCTAGGATTTCTTATATATTAATTCAGCAAATATGTATTGATCCCTTTACTGTGTAAAAAGTGCTATATAAGAGGAATCACAACCAGAATAGTTTCTCTTCTTCCGTTGCAGCGGGGGGTTTTCAGTGGAGAACATGTGACTTCAATAAGCAAATGGGGAAACTGAGAGCCAGAATGAGGTTGATTTTTACAATGGTGGTCCACAGAATGGCCAGACACTATTGGCATCTCTATTTGCAGGCAACTGTTCTGGCCTCTCCACCCCTCCTCTCCTTCCCCTGGAGTAGTGCCTAGGGGAAGTTCAACAAGTCAGCCAAATGTTCCAGATGTACACTGCTGCAAATGCAGCATCTTTAACAGCTGCACCAATCAGAAAAGGATTCAAAGCAACAACAAAAAAAGTGGCAGATGTCAGAACAATAGATCCTGATATGAAGATTGTAAAAGATTAGTTAAATCAAAAGTCACAATTAACAGGAGTTAGTCGGAGATTATAAAGAGCTAAATGACCGTAGCAGGGAGATATGTATGCTTCTTGGTCACCAGGCACTCCCATTCCCACGTTATTAATTGAGAAATGACTAATTCTCAGTTTCATTGATGTGACGAAGGCATCTTGAGTGCCACCAAGGAGGCTCAGCAATGCCCAGGAGTGTGGATGGGAAGGCATATGACCTAGAATGGTGGGAAAGAGAAAAAAAATAGAGGTAAAATAGAAGAGAGACAAAAGGAAAACAACAAAACAAAACCAAAAGCATCTAGTGGGAGGTCAGTCAAGAGAGCACAGAGAACATAGGTCTTAAATATTTTCGCCACAGCCAACTTTTCTTCCGCACACTTCGTGAACGGTTTCAGTGCTTCAATAACATCTTTGTGTCCACTCATTAACCTTAACCCATGAAATATAAAGTTTTCAAAGAATATCATCATTATACAGATAAGAAAAAAAAGGCATTTAACAGCTGCTCTCAAGTCCTCCTTGTCCAGTCCAGGAACTCCAGCTGCTAGGGAAATTGCCAGGCTGATTTACCTTAATTATCACATCCCGGGATTATTGAAAATAATGCTAGACTAGGAGTCAGGAGGCCTGGCATAGCCATTAATTTGCAAGTCACTGTGCTTTTTGGGGCCTTAGTTTCTCCAATTGTAAAATGAGGATTTTGAACTTTAACAGCTATAACATTGTGTTTTATTTGTGTTGTAACTGACTGTATTGACTTGGTTGCGTACACAGTTCAAAGAGGCTGTCCCTTTTCCCCCTAAAATGAAAAGGGAGCAAATGAAGCCATCCCTGGTGGTGGTGGTCATGCTCAGGGGCCATACTGGTCTCCATTTACCATGTTCTGCCAGGTTTTTAATAGCTTGACTGAGACCTTGAGTTCCACCATTGGCCTCAGAAGCCCGGGCGTTGTATTTGACCTCATGCCTTACTTTGCCCAACTCAATAGCCTCCCAGAGGAAGAACATATGGTTTCATATGCAGTAGAATTGTTGGTCTGGGGCAATCCAGTGAGGAATGTACATGGTCATTTTTTTAAGTGTTTCTTCAGTTAGCATCTGTGCTTCTTTAAGTACCCCATTACCTACAGCACAGGTCTCAAAATGACAGCCTGCAGGCTATATCCAGCAAATAGATGTGTTGTGTTTGATGCAGTATTGGCTAAAACTTTGAATTAAAAAAAAATTAGAAATGAGCAAATTTCACATTTAAAAAAAAATCAGGGTTTCTGGTTTCTCTGTTTAAAAAAAAAAAAAAAACAGAGGGTCCACATTCCCTTATGGCTACATTCAGCTAGAATGGACCCCTTGATACAAACACGGGCTATCAAATTCCACACAGTCACCCCCTATCTCCTTCCTCTACTCTCAAATACTGTCCTTGTCGCTCGTTTACTTTATCTGGCTGACCCCTGTGCTGCAGGAGACAAGATTTCAACTCCTTAGCATGACCTATAAGGTCCTTCATAATCTGGTCTCAAACTGCCTCTCCAACCTCATCTTCCACCATCCTACAGGGAACCCATGCTCCCACAACACTAAATTAGTTGACCACTTTTCACAGTCATGCCTTTTCACAAGTTTTTCTTTGTCAGGAATGTCCCCACCTTGGAGACCTAATAAATTCTTCAAGAATCAATTCACATGTTCCCTGTGGGCTCCATAGCCCACTCCAAACAGATTTTCCTTTATGCTTTCATTGTACCTTGAGCATAGGTCAATGATATCACTTACCACATTGTATTTTTAATTTTTTTACATGGCTCTCTCACCACTAAATTCTGAGCTGCTCCTTGATGGTAAGAATTGTGTCCTTTTCATTTGGGTATCACCAGTACCTACCAGGGCACCTACGACATAGTAGGTGCCAGTATTGTTTATCAAATGAATGGCGCATGAAGTCTGCTATGATAACTTAGACTACGTAGAATTCCAAAAAAGGAACCGGGCTAAAGGATGCCTGTCAGTACCACTTAAGAAGCACCTGTTGTATACAAACTGTATAGTATATTACGGAAAGATGCAAAGGAAATAGAAACAAATGACAATTGTGCAATTAACCTCGTATTGGTGGGACCAAAAGCAGAATCAGAGGAGCTAATATGGGAGTTGTGGATAATCCAGAAAAGTAAAGTAAATAATCCAGAAATTCAAATATAATTGGTTTGTAGTAACTCATTGGCCTTTCTGCCCCATCAAGTTTTCCTTTCTAATTTGTGTTTAATATTAAAATATGTCACCTAAGTTGGTAACCCTGAATACTCATCAATTGAGTGGAATATGCTAGGGAGTTGGGCAGGGACTGCTTTGAAATACAGTACCTCTTACCCAAAAGAAAAACAACCAAACCCATTGCCGTTGAGGTGATTTCCACTCATAGGGACCCTATAGGACAGAGTAGAACTGCCCCATAGGGTTTCCAAGAAGCAGCTGGTAGATTCGAACTGCTGATCTTTTGGTTAGCAGCCATAGCTCATAACCACTGCACCACAAGGGCTCCACAGTACGTCTTAGCTCTGGTTAATCTGCAGAACAAATAATTGACATAGAGATCACAGAGTTGACTCTCTGATCCACTTAATGATAAGCAGATAGATCGTTGGAAGGAACATGAACTTTGGATTAGATCCTGGTTTGAATCTCAGCTTATTCACTTACCAGCTATGTGACCTAGGATAAGTGAGTTTTACCTATCTTGCAGAGAGCCTCAGTTTTCTCATCTGGAAAATGAAGATGACAATATATACTATCCATCTAGCTGTGATCAAATGAGATGCTATAAGTGAAAGTGCCTGGCACATAATAAATGCATAGTCAATGTTAGTCCCTGCTGCTGTCCAGGAGCCTTTCATCAAAAGGAGATGAGAGGAAAAACATACAACAGTACTCAAGAACATGGAAGAAACATAGAAAAGCATCTACCTACTTTGACCTCACCAAAAACTTGCCCCCTTTTTTGCATTCTTAGAGTCTGGAATAAGGCCTGTAGGTTCCCACCACCTTCCCCTGAACACTTAACTCATATATCCAGCTTCCTCCTTTCCATTTCCATTTGGATATCTGATAGATATTCTTTTGTCCTTCCCTACCCTGTAGTTAGAAGGAGCCCCGGTGATGCAATGGTTAAGTGCTGGGCTGCTAATCAAAAGGTTGGCGGTTTGAACTCACCAGCTGCTCCATGGGAGAAAGATGTGGCAGAAAGATTACAGCCTAGGAAACTCTATGGGGCAGTTATACTCTGTCATATAGGGTTGCTATGAGTTGGAATTGATTCAATGGCACACAACAAGCCTGTAGTCAGAGGCGTTCTGTTAAAATGTAAGTCAGATCTTGTAGCTACTCTGCTCCAGATCCTCCAGTAACTCTCAATCTCACTCTAAGTCCTTTCCTTGGCCTACTGGTCTCCTCTCCTACCACTCTTCTCCTTGCTCACTCTACTCCAGACACATCGGCCTCTTTGCTGTTCCTTGAACTTGCTAAACTGTGCTCCTAAGACCTAAGGGTCTTTTTACTTGAATTTTCTTCTGCGTGAAGTGCTTCTTCCTCACTTCCTCCAGGCCTCTTCTTACATGTCACATTATCAGAGAACCTTACCTTGACCAATTTCTCATTACTCTCTGTCCTCTTATTTTGTTGTATTTGTCTTCTAATCACCATCGGACATACTGTATGTTTGTTTATTGTACAACTCCTCTGCAGCCACAACTAGAATGTCAGTTCCACGAGAGTAGAGATTTTTTTCTGTTTTTGTTCACTGCTTTATCTATAGGACCAGAGACAGTGCATGGCCCATAATAACCAGTTTCTGTCCAGTC